TTTGGAGCCAGACTGGGTGGGCTCAAATCCTAGTGCTGTCTCTTATCAGTAGAACAACCTTGGACAAGTGCCTTAACTCTTGGTGCCTCCATTTTATGCTCTGTAAAGTGGGAATAATAACAATAGCTACCTCATTGAATTGGTATAAGGATTAAGAGGGTTAATATATGCAAAGCACCTAATAACTTAGGATAGTGCCTGGCCCATATAAGGATTAGCTGTTATTATTGGCGTTATTTTTTATTAAAACGTCTTTGTAAAATGTCATTTTAATGACTACACAAAACTTTATGAATCTACCATAATTTATCTAACTTCCTTTTCTTGGCTGTTAAGTTTATTTCCAATTATTTGATCTCACATATAAAACTGCCATAGATGCCTTTGAGCACTCAGTTTTGCCCCCATTTCAGATTATTCCCTAGTGAAGATTTCTGGATCACAACGTCAAAGGGGATGTACAGTTTTTTTTATTTAATTACATTTTTTAATTAAATGTATTGGGGTGACATTGATTACTAAAATTATATAGGTTTCAAGTGTACAACCTATAATACATCATCTGTATATTGCATTGTGTGTTCACCACGCAGAGTCAGTTCTCCTTCCATCACTGTATATTTGACCCCCTTTACCCTCTTCCACCACCCCTCTCTCCCTTACCATCTGGTAACCACTAAACTGTTGTCTGTGTCTTTGAGGTTTTGTTTGTTTGTTTGTCTTGTTTGTTGTTTGCAGTTTTATATCCCACATGAGTCAAGTCATATGGTTCTTGATTTTTTCTGACTTATTTCACTTAGCATGATATTCTCAAGATCCATCCATGTTGTCGCAAATGGCAGTATTTCATCTTTTCTTATGGCAGAGTAGTATTCCATTGTATATATGTACCATTCTTCTTTATCTAATAATCTATCAAAGAACACTTTGGTTGTTTCCATGCCTTGGCCACCGTGAATAATGCTGCAGTGAACATCGGAGTACACATCTTTATGGATAACTGTTTTCAGATTTTTTGGGTAGATACCCAGAAGAGGGATTGCTGGGTCATATGGTAATTCTATTCTTTTTTTTTTTAAGATTTTATTGGGGAATTGGGGGAGGGGAACAGCCAAGTTGTTGTCCTTCAATCTTAGTTGTGGAGGGCGCAGCTAGCTCAGCTTCAAGTCCAGTCGCGCTGCTCAGCCCAAGGTGTGCTGTGCTCAATCAGTTGCGGGTGAGTGTAGCCACCATCCCATGCAGGAGTCGAACTAGCAGCCTCATTGTTAAGAGCGCAGGCTCTGTCCCCTGAGCCACCTGGGCTGCAGCTCAGCTCAGGGTGCCGAGTTCAGTCTTTTAGTTGTGGGTGGTCCACCATTCAAACTGGCAGCCTTGTTGTTAGGAGCACGCGCTCTCACCAGCCGAGCCATCCTGCCACCTGTTGGCAGCTTAGCTTGGGGTGCAGTGTCACTGGCCCATGTGGGAATCGAACCGTTGACCCTGTTGCTCAGAGCTTGTACTCTTAACCAACTGAGCCACTCGGCCGGCCCTATTCTTAATTTTTTGAGGGACCTCCATACTGTTTTCCATAACGGCTGTACCAATTTACATTGGGATGTACAGCTTAAACCACTTAATAAGAGTTTGCCAAATTGCTTTCCAGAAAGATTGTGCCTTTTTATACTCCTACCAGTATTTGAACAATAAGAGTGCCCATTTTTCTGTGGCCATACCTGTATCGTGTGTTATCATTTAAAATATTCTCAGGTTTTTTGACATGATTTGCTTTTAAGGCTGAAATGTAATATATTGAGTAGTTGGAAAAGTCATGACACATTTTTTGCATAGAAAACATGGAAAAAATACGTCATGACTTTTCCGACAACCCAATAGCAAAGGGAGTCAACATAGTGGTTCCTGTAGCAAGGAGTACTCGTGAAAGGCAAGAAAACTTCTAGTGAGAAATGAAATCCTTGCTTTGTCAAGTCTCCAAGTGTTTTGTCCATTCTGTTATGAAGCCTGGAAACTTTGTGAGTGTTCTTGAAGGTACAGGGAGGGGTGCTGGGGGAGAGAATATGTTAGTAGCAGGGCAGTGCTAGGTACACAAGGATTTTAATTAAAAAGTTTTGTGTCTGTTCTCAAACTTGGACGTTGAAAACGCTCAACATTTTATGGGAGGAGGGAGGCACACTTGAGCAGAGAACAGATCAATTTAATCACTTCACAACTAAAGCCATGTGAGAGACAGGAATATGAGGTTGGGAGGGGGCAGCTCTTGCATTGCCTGCCAGATAAGGTGGAGACTTATCTGGGGAAGGGCTGAGGGAGCAGTCTGCACCTGCTCATTGCAGCCCTGTTAGCCCCACTTCCTGCCCATTGCAGTCTGGTCTTGCCCAGCCCCAGCCCCTGGACTGTAGAGGAAGATCAGGGTGCTGGCTGAGTGAAAGACAGGGTGGTGGTGATTTTTTTTCCTCAGTGGTGAACTGATAGGAGTATACGGTGTGTACACCATGTACAACTTGGTCACACATGAATTCAACAGTATCCAAACCAGTTGCAGTGGACTCAATGGTAGCCCCAAAATGTGTCCAAATACTGTTGCCTTATTTGGAAAAAGGGTCTTTTTAGATGTAATGAAGATAAGGGTTTTGAGATGAGATCAACTTGGATTATCAAGGTGGGCCCTTAATGCCATCACAAGTGGCCTTATAAGAGAGAAGACACACACACACACACACACACACACACACACACACACAGCAGTGAAGTAGAGGAGTGATGTGGCCAGAAACCAAGGAATGCCACCAGGAGCTGGAAAAATGCCAGGAACAGATTCTCCCATAGAATCCCTGGAGGGAGTGTGGCCCTGCCCACACCTTGATTTCAGGTTTCTGGCCCCCAGAACTGTGAAAGAAGATATTTCTGTTGTTTTATGCCACCCCATTTGTGGTCATTTATTATGGCAACTGCAGGGAACTCAGGTACCAGTCTGTGCTCTATTTAATAAGACAGTTCCACTGATGGTGTGCTTAGCTATAGTGCAATATCATGCTTTAAAAGCTTCTAAGGTTCTCTTAATTTCTGCTCTTGTGAACAGAAGCAGTTGGTGGGTGGCACTTGTTTGCAGACCACCCTTTGAATACCACTGGTGTGGTCTTGCTCCCTTGTTTTATTAGATGAGGAAACTGAGGTGCAGAGAGGAAGTGGTAGGGCTGGTAGTGGCGCACAGGTGCCCCTGCTGCTTGGAATGGATAGATGTTGTGGCACCAGCCACCTGGGGGCCAGGTCTGGGATGAGCAGACAGGGGAGCTGCCTTTTAGCCTGTTGTGCAGGCCAGCAGGTGTCCCTGTCGCAATTCTGTAACCTGCCCAGTGAAAGCGGATGCACCATTGAGCCCCTGGGGCACTGCTCAAAAGGCCCAGGAGCCAGGGGAAACTTGTAAAGCTTTTGCTGCAGCTAATGAGCCAAGAACAGCAGGCAGAGGACCTTGTCGAGGGCAAAGGTCAACTTAATTGCTGTCGACTTAATTTCCAGCTGACTGCATCAGTCCTTGTGGTTTGGGTCATATTTTCCTTCTGTAGCCCAATTTTAACTTTCTCCATTTTGTGAATGGTAATTATCGCTTAGAGAATATGGAATTAGACTACAGTCCTCTTGACTCTTATGCTGCTTGAATGATGTCCTTGGCATCATTACCTTGGCATTCAGAGGCCCGTGAAGAAGTTCTCCTTCCCAGCCCTGCCTTTCGCCAAAGTCATTGTTCCCTAGTAGACAGGACTTTGAAGAGGTTAGATTCTTGAAGCCGTACAGTAGGCGAGTTCGTGGTTGGCCAACTCAAGAACCAATGGAAAAATGTGGCACGTGGATAGTGGGCATAAATCTTTGAAGATCTCAGAAACAGATGGTCACGCTTACTAAAAGAGACTATAAAGGCAGCACAAACAGCTAGTACCAGCCGCTGGCATGTGAGCTGTGTCACCTGCTCTGCCGTCCAGCCCAGCTGAGCCACTACATAAGTAAACCAGGCAAGACCAGAAGGAAAACCTCCCATCTGGGCCCAGCACTCATTGCTGACCCCCTCAACCAATAACAAATAAAATATTTATTGTTTAAGACAAAAAAAAAAAAGGCAGCGCAATAAATCAAGACTTATGTTTGAGTTATTACACTTCTTATTTTAGTAATGATGGGCATTGTATGGTTGCCCAGTTATTCCTTGCTTGCTGTGCGCACTTTTCAGCCTCTCGCCTTTGTATTTTTAGTGTAATTCTTATTTATTTTGTTTTGTTATGGATAATGCTCATATTAGGGATCCCTTTTGTCCAGTATCTGGGCTTCCATCTTAATATTTAATAGCGCTGGGATTTTATGAATTATTTACAGAGGCCAAGGTCACTTTCTCTCATCTTATTTTTTTCCAAGGCTTTGTTTTTCAGAAGCCTCTTTCTTCACCCTCTACTTTTGTTTCTTTTTCTTGTCCCATCCCTGGAACTCTTATTCTTTTATGTTTTGGATCTCTAATTCTAAAATCAGTGATTTGTGGTTGCAAGGAACAGAAATGCTCTCATGCCATCTAAGTTAGTGGAGGGTTTGTTGTAGGAATCCCAGGAATTGCAGGGAGCAAAGCTTAACCTGCCTGCTGGGAACTGAAGCAAGAAGTCCCCTCTAACTTGGGCTGCATGGTCCTGCTCACCTCCTATCTGTGTGTGTGTGTGTGTGTGTGTGTGTGTGTGTGTGTGTGTGTGTGCGCGCACGCGCACGCGTGCACCCCTCAGGTTTTTCTGGTTCGGGGCTCACTGCTTCCTGCCTGGTTTGCATGTCTGTATTCTCAAATGAGTGAAGCAGGGACAGAGGGAGACAGGGTTTCTGACAGTGACAAATGTCCATCCCCAGTCAGTCAACTGGGGGAGGAGAGCCAGGTGACAGCCCTCTCAGCATGGACTGGGGGGGTCCCCAAAAAGGGTGTGTGGAGGAGTAGCTCCCCCAAACCTATTATACCTCTTCTTCTGATTTCTCCACAGAGAAAACTCAAAAGTCACCTCTACTGGAAATCGGTTTGCCTTGAAACTATAGAAACAGCAGTTCCTAAAGTTGAAGAAAAGGTAAGCAGAAGTAAATGTATATCTACTAAAGTTCTCTTATAAGGGAACCCCATGTTTGTGGAGGGGTTACTGTCCCTGGTATTTTAACACCGCTCCCCGCCTGCCTGGCCGTGTTCCTCTTCATCCTTTAAGGCCTTTCTCAAATGCCGCCTCCCTGGGAAGGAATCCTTTTTGATTTCCTCCCTCTGGCGGTGATTTCTCCTGCTTTTGAACGCCTATAGTACTAACTGCTTCTTACTGAGCCGTCTCCTAATGGGCATTAATGACTGATTTGTGCCCTTCTGACTGGTCTTCTCCCGTGGCTGTATTGAGTGTGGGGGCTTCTTTTCTGTGACCTCCCATCGTAGCATTTCCACACTTGATCACAGTTGCTTGTTTGTGTGTTTTCCCAGTAAGCTCCTTGAGGGTGTATCTGAATTGTGCCTGGGACACAGTAGATACTTCCTAAACGTTTATTGAATAAACAGTGAATCAGCCTCCCCAACTAGACTGTCACTTCCTGTGTTGGTTCTGTTTGTACAGCCACCACTCCATCTTTGTAGGGCCTGTACCATAAATCATTTCAGATTGGTCCTGTTCTTTGAGCATTCATCAAAAATTGCTAATCTTCTCTAGTTCTCCTTTGTGTTTTGGCTTTTGGTAAAGTGAAGCTAATAGCAAAGCTTTTGTATCTGACTTTTCTTTTTCATGGGCAGTTTGGGCCTATGTTAAGAGCTGGAAGCTGGAAGGGAAGGAAGGTGACAGGCAGGTCAAGAAGCTGGCGACCATGAGAGCATAGCTCCCAGCCTGCCTCTGCCTTTCTGTGGCTGGTGTTGAATGGGGGCTGCATGAGGTCGGGTTTTGGTCCTGCTGTGGTTGGGGTCCCCGTTTTTGTTGGATGGCATCCATCTGTATGATCTTCCAAGCTGCTTCATCAAAAGACAGTTGCAACTTCACCCACTTCCCTACTTCAAACTTTTTGCTTTAAATGAATGAGACAGCGGGTTCCTTTTTCCCAAAAGTGCCTGCTAAGTATCCCAGAGACATACCTTACTAATTCTACCAGTTTTGTTGGTCACCATTCTCTTAGAGGACTTGCCCCAGCTTTTCCTACCTAACAGTAACCAGCAGTTGTCTCTTATAATTGCAGAGTTCTTCCCCTTTACAGGACGCCCCTACACACATCACCAGGTTTCCTTCTCCCGCCAATTCCAGCACACAGGCAGGGGCCAATGATAACATTTCATTTTCAGTCGGGAAACAAGACTTCTTAGCAGTTGGGTGTCTTGCATGGCGTCACATTGCCAATGTGAATGGAGTTGGCTTTTTCTCTCTCCTGCACCATCTCGGTCCTTCCTCTTGGAAGCCACTGCTGCTGTCACAAAACCCCGGGGCTCTGTCTCTCACCGGTCCCTTACGCATCCTGAGAGCTTCTTTCAGGGAGGAGAGCCTTGACCTTCTGTTGAGAGATGCATCCTGACCCTGGTGTTTCCTGCCAGCCCCAGCCAGACCAATTACTTTTTGTTTGTTTTTTTTAAGATTTTTATTGGTGAATTGGGGGGATGGGAACAGTGCTGGGGAATTGGGGGAAGGGGAACAGACAAGTTGCTGTCATTTTGTTCTTCAGTCTAGTTGTGGAGGATGTTGCTTCACTGGCCCAAGTTGGCACCATCATTGCGCTCTTCCTGGGCAAGGCAGATCAGTCGCCGGCTTCTAGACGGCCGCTCACTGCGGCTGCTAGCCGCTCACACTGGCTGCTAGCCGCTCACGCTGACTACTGTCTACACATGGTAGCCCATGGCAACCCACTGCCACAGGGGCTGCAGCCTACGCTGTCGCCGGCGACTCACGGCAGCCCAGCTCCAGGTTGAGCTGTTGTTCAGCATCTTAGCTGTGGATGGCAGTTTCACTAGTCCTCATATGTGGGATCCGAACCGGGGCCCTCTGGCGTCCCAAGCCAGTTCTTAACCATTGCGCCACTTGGCCGGCCCCAGACCAATTTCTTGAATAAATATTGGGTTGTCAGAAAAGTAATGACGTATTTTTTCTGTTTTTCGTTGCAAAAATGCGTCATGACTTTTCCGACAACCCAGTAAGTATCTGTAGATACCTTCTGAGACTTTCCAGTTAGTCTTGTAAGTTTTATTTTTGTTAGGGCTTATTTAAATGCAGGAAATTGAATTAGTTTATATTAATGCTGCATTGTCTTTCACTGTGAGTAAACTGGAGGACACTAACAGGGGTTTGTTCAGCTTAATCTAGCTGTATCTAATGATGTTCTCTCCCGCCCTTCTCCTTTAAATAATTGCAAATGGTTCTATCAATCAAGGCGGCAGAGCACAGTACTTTATTACCATGTGGATTTGTTTAGTTAAATGTGATTTTTTTTTTAATGGCTCAACTTTTAATTAGAAAGCAGATTGTCGATGACATTTTGATTTGTCCTTTGATGGGGGAATTGGAAAATATACTCATCATGGTAGGAAACCGGATTTAGTTCAGAGGGAGGCACATTAACTTAAGAACAGGATGTGATTTCAGTGAGTCATCGGTCTTCTAAAATAGGCCATCGCCTCTGGTCTCTTTGTTGAGAGACCTTCCTCTGCATCTGAAGCCACCTTAGAACCACATTGTCCCAAGGGAGACTCTGACTTGGAACTCCCCAAACAGGATGGTACTGATGTTGTGCCATCAGGGCGCACAACGAGGCACCAAGAGCCTTCCTTGCCCTGGCACTCCTGGAAAACTCCTGTGTCAAGAAATCAGCAAACCTCTCATGACGCTTGTAATCAAAGAAAATAGTCTACATACTTTACTTCCCGTTGTGGTGTGATGCACGTACCATTTTACTGTTAAAAGTTACTGTTTTCTTAGCTCCAAAACTGGTGTCTGTGTCACTACTGAGGGTTATCATAGAAGCAGCCTGCATGTTTCCTGGCTGAGTTTGGCCCCATAGGCTCCTCACATGGTGCATGTCACCTTGGCCGGCACAGAGGTGGACATCAGAGCACCCTAAGAGGAGGGCAGGAAGGGTCACCAGTGTGAATGGCGCCACGTCCCATTCCATGGGTTGCCTCTACTTTCTAGCACGTTTTATACCTCTTGCAGCAGTTAGCAAACTTGGATATTAGCTCCGGGGCACCTCAAGCTTAATGGGTCCAAATATTAACTCTTGGTCTCCTGCTACCACAGCCCCTTTCCAGACCTCCCATCCCCCATCTCATTAAGGTGCACAGCTGTTAACTCGCTTTTCCTAGCCAGGAACTGGGGAGTCACTCGCCTTTCTCTTCCTCCAAATCACCAAGTCGTAGCGATGCTTCTCCTCAAGTAGATCTTTTTTTTTTCTTTTTTAAAGATTTTTTTTATTGGGGAATTGGGAGGATGGGAACAGACAAGTTGCTGTTGTTTTTTTCTTCAGTCTAGTTGTGGAGGACGTTGCTTCACTGGCCCAAGTTGGCACCATCACTGCGCCCTTCCCGGACGAGGCAGATCAGTCACTGGCTTCTGGACAGCCGCTCACTGCAGCTGCTGGCCGCTCACGCTGGCTGCTGGCCACACACCGTAGCCCATGGCAACCTACCTGCCGTCACAGGTGACTCTCAGCAGGCCAGCTCCAGGTTGAGCTGTTGTTCAGCATCTTAGCTGTAGAGGGCAGTGTCACTGGCCCTCATATATGGGATCCGAACCGGGGCCCTCTGGTGTCCCAAGCCAGTTCTTAACCATTGCGCCACTCAGCCGGCCCTCAAGTAGATCTTGAATTCACCTGCTGCCCTCCCACGGCCACCTCCCAAGTCTACTGACCTTGTCATTTGCCTGCCTGACTGCAAAGGCCTTTGAGCTGTCTGCCCTGCTTCCGCTTCCCCTCCATTCTGTTCATTACTTTGGACCCAGAGTGAGCTTTGAAAATACTTGTCATATCATTTCACTCCCTTGCTGAAACCTGTTAATGACCTCCCCCGCCCATGAATGAGTCCCATACTCCCAGCGTGGTCCGTGGAGAGACTACACTATCGGGGCCCCAGACCTGGCTAGAGGTCCCACTGCAGTGTTATCACATTGAAGCGACTTATAAGACACTTCTCCCTTTCACTGTTGACTTCCTTGGCAGATTGCAATGGCTTTGATTTTCCAAGTGCACTAAAATAACTGTCAGGCTCGCAAAGGTGTGCTTAAAATGGATCTCGTGTCCTGGGAAATGGTACAGGGAGTGATTTCTCCCTCCAAGCCCCAGAATATCAACACTCACAACACAGAGGTGGACCACTATTTCATTTAGAACCTTAATAAGTAAATAACCCATATGTAACCAACCAACTAAAATTCTAATACCTGTGCTGCTCTCCAAGTAGCCCCCCTCACCAAATATTTTAATATAAAAAAAATGTGCGTGGTGCCAGCCGAGCGGCTCAGTTGGTTAAGAGCACGAGCTCTGAGCAGCAGGGTTGCCGGTTCGATTCCCACACAGGCCAGAGCTGCACTCAAGCTGAGCTGCTGGTGAGCTGCCAACAGGTGGCAGGATGGCTCAGCTGGTGAGAACACGTGCTCCTAACAACAAGGTTGCTGGTTCGAGACTCTTGCATGGGATGGGGACTGTGCCCCCACCCCCACCCCCCCTGTAGCTATGATTGAACACGGCACCTTGAGCCCAGCGGCTGCGAGCTGCCGACAGGCGGCCAGATGTCGACTGGACTTGGAGCTGAGCTAGCTGTGCCCTCCACAACTAAGACTGAAGGACAACAACTTGGCTGGTCCCCTTCCCCGATGCCCCAATTAAAAAAAAAAATGTGCGCAATATTTTAGCTCAGGAAATAATGAATGAAACTTGGTTCCAGGCTGGTAGAAGAAAAGGCTGACTTTCTCCAGGGGAAAAAAGAAACCCCCTGAATATCAGTACCCAGCTTTCCTTCTGAACACATTTTAAAAGGCAACGTGTTTAAAAGGAGCACGCTTTCCTTACCTTACTCTTGAGCTTTACTTTTGTGTGTTTATTTGTGGAACCACAGTCACACAGATACACTCCT